GCCGGCGGGGCCGGAAACCCACACACACACACACACACACACACACACACACACACACACCCCTTGCCGAAGGCTAGAAAAGCATTAATAAGCTTTTTGCTTTCTAATGAGCCTGGTGATTCCCTGTTGGCTGGCTTATTTGGCAGTAATGCCACTTCTGCTCTTTCTTCTCAGGATGCTGTATCAATATGGCAGGTCATAGGATGCTGGGAGAGGGCCATAGGGATATATGATATAATTTTAGTATTTGTAGATGAAAGTGATTCAGTTAGCGATGACAGTAAGGATTCTTGCCTTCATTTTTTCCCTTCTGTTTCAGGAGATAAAGTACCACCTGAGGAGTTGCATTCTCCATATGAGACATTGCTGCTGAGAACATTTTTATCTTACCTTATTCATCTAGCATTTCATATCTATCACAAAGAGCATGAGTAAGTTGCTTTTTTTTATAGTGAGAATTGTTTGAGTTTCAGTAGTTAGCTATTATGTAATTACTAGAGGGTAGCCTGTCTCAGGATGAGCATGATCACTGTTTTTACTTCCTTGACCCATCTTCTTTTTCTGACCCCTCTTCTTTTTCTGTCCTTTCTCTTTCTTCTTTTTCTTTCTCCTTTTTGTGGTGATATTCTATTCACAGAATCCTGCTGAGTAGATTGATTCTGAATTTTTCAGGAAATAATCCCCTTCTGATTTCTACTAGTATTGACTTGTTTACAGTGTGTCCTTGGCAAGCATGTTTGTTTCAAATTAATATTGACTGGTGGTGTTTGGGCTTGCAATACAGAGTTCTACAAATAATCTAAAGATTCTTACTCTCAAGGCTTGTGGAGTGCAGATTTTGGTAAAGCAATAGTAGGATAAAGTCTCGAACAGCATCAGTATGGGGGTGCTTTTGGCTAATCGGTAATGCTTTTTAATGTGTAATTGTATAAAAACTTACATTTATTTCCTTATACAAAATATATTCAGGGGAAAGGAGACAACTCTGAAAATTTGTATTTTAATAGCTTTTAGAAGTTCTGTAGACCTGTAAAGAAAAGCAAACAGTCATGAACAACATATCACTTTTAACAGTACAATTAATCTGGCAGTTCAAGCAATAGTGAGTGTGGATTCAAATAAAGTGTTAAGGATGTCCTCAGAATTAGAGATTCTGATTGTAAAGCAGTGACCCTTTGTATACTATTTATCCCTGTAACTTTAATCTATAGGGTTTATCACATTAAATCTTTCAATGTGCATCAATACCACCAAAAAAACAGTGACCACAATGAAAAAAAAATCTGAAATTCCTAGCTTATTGATGGTTTTGGAAAGGGAGTGGAGGGAGTTCAGTCTGGGGTTTTTTTCAGCCCCTCCTGGAGGGTGGGGATGGGTGTTTTGGGGCTCCCCCCCAAGGTGGGGGGGCTCCAATTCATGCACCCCATCTTTCAGCACTGACTGGAGAGCCCCAAGAATGAGCTCCCTCCGCTGCCTTTCCTCCCTCCCTTTCTGAAAATAATGGGTGCTGGCAGAGAGCCCTGGCCATTGCTGTACAAACCTGGCTGCAGGCTCCCAGCCCTCAGCTAGATTCCCCTCCCACCTGGAACCAACACTGAACTTCTGTTTGGTCTGGGGTAACATTGTAACTCAGAACGCTTTGCAAAAATCATTTTAAGTTACAGCTGGGAGCTGCACTTATTTTGCATTGCTATATTTTACATACAATTTAAGTTTCCATAAAACCTTATGCGACATTATCTAGAGCCACTTTCAAACCTGCGCTCTAGTCCAAACCCTCTGACCATCCCTTTAGCTCACTCCTCAGAAGTTTTTTTGGAGAATCAGAACTGACACTGAACCTCCCTGTAGCACTACTCTTCCCCTCACCGTGTGTTCATTGTTCATTCAAGTACTGCAGAGCCTAGTATAGGAAGTCTACTGGTAGGTGACTTCTGGGCCGTCTGTACCCCACTTCTTGTCTTGACTGCCTATAATCGGAGCTTAGCACAAGAGAGACTAGTAATAGGCAGACTGAATCCTTGCATGGCATCTGCTGTGTTTGCTGTTCAGTTGTGCTAGTATAGGTAATATTGACAGGGAAGGGTGGCTCATGTAGTTAAGGCTATTTAAGAGTAATCCTCAGGGTTGACTTTAAATAATAGCATAGACATTTCCTTGGACACTTAGGTATTTTTTGAAAATCCCACCTAGTACCTGTATAATACATATAAAAGATACCTAATACTTTTGTTCTTGAGATTAATAAACATAGTTTGTCCTCTCAGAGATACACAATGGGATAACATAACATAACTTTTACTGGATAAACATCCAATCAGGCAATTTTTGCTGGTACTTTTCTGCACCGATTGACAGTGTAATATAACACTTTGTATTAATTGTAGCGATAAAGGACCGTATCTGTTCAAGTGTTTCTCAAAGATGATGTCCAAGAACATTATTCCCAATGCCTGTCATGTTCAAGGTAAGTACCACTTTTCTTTGTTATACAGAATTCATTACCATTAGTGTAATAACTACATGAAAACTACATTTTAACTTTGGCAAGCAAGGTTCTTAGAGCAGATGTTGGTTTAATAAAAGATATCACATCTACTCGAAGAACCTTGTCTGCCTATGTCCGTAGATCAGGGGTGGGCAAAATGCAGCCCATGGGCCCACCAGACCATTCTATCTGGCTCGCAGGGTCCCTAAAAAATTTAGAAAATTAATATTTATTTGCCCCTGGCTGCCTGTCATGTGGCCCTCAATGGCTTGCCAAACCTCAGTAAGTGGCCCTCTGCCTGAAATAATTGCCCGCCCCTGCCTTAGACCAACACAGCTACAACCAAAACCACCAACATTTTAACTTTTGTCTTATTCCACTTCCCTTCTACAGGCATTTTATTTCACAAACAACAACACACTGCCTCTGCCATTAATTACATTGATAAATGCTGGGAGATATACGGAGCCTTTTGCAGACCAAGCATTAGACCTCCTCATGAACCCACAATGAAGATGAGACACTTCCTCTGGATGTTGAAAGTAAACAAATTACATGCTTTTATTTGTGTTTTTAAGTGCTCACTTATTTATCCTGCTTGCAATAGCGATTTTAAATGGTTTCTCCTAAGGGCTTGACCCTGCAGATACTTTAGTGAATGAACTTACTTGTCGTCCTGACTTGTCCCATTGATTTCAAAGGGATGACTTCTTTTGAGTAAGTTCCTTACATACTTAACTTTTTGCCGGATCAAACTCTAAAATCCCTTTCTGTTTCTGTTTCTGGATGCTTTAGGTTAATTTCAAGTATATTTTTAAATTAATATAATGATTTTTACTAGCAATTTTTGTTTGGCCATTAAATTATTTTGACATTTTAATCCTTGTGCTTAAACTGTAACATTTGTTGTAGTCAAGATTCATAAATCCAGAATTTAAAAAATATTTTATTGAATGTTAGTTTATAAAACGTTTTAATGTTAAGTTTGATTAAACTGCTCTGGAATTTAGGGCTGTAACAGGGAGCTAGCAGACTCCTGTTACTTTAAGAGAAAACCGCAGCAGGGTAAGCTGACTAACTGTTAAGGAAAAGGCAGACTTGTAACCAGCTGCCAGCAATAAGGAGAAGGGGGAAGACATCTAGGCTGCTTAGTAGTCCAGAGCTGCAAACAACAGTTAAACAGCAGCAAAGCAAAGGAGTTGGTTCATTAGGTCCAGAATGTAAACCCCTGTGTGGCAGCAGAGTCACCTGACCAAAAAGGGGCAGGGCTTGAGGAATATATAAGCCCACAGCCTGAGCCAGGGCAGCAGTTGGACGCTGCAGGAGAAAGCTTACAACCAAGTAGGAACGCTACAGGGCAGTGCCCGTCTGACACCAGAGCTGCTCTGAGAACTGCTAGAAAGGCACTGATACTTTAAAGGGGAATATGACCCTGTGTAAAAGAGAGGTTTGCTTATACAGCCAGCGAGCTGAGATTTATGTTCAGGCCCAGTATGTGTAGGGGGGAGGTTGTGTTATACCTGGAGGGCTTATTCTTTTGTTATAATTTTAAGCCAGCAGTTTGGGTTGGAACTGTCAGGGGTGGAGGAGATCCCAGCAGTGTCTGAGAGGCTTGTAGCAGCTTCGAGCCCTGCCAGGAGCTGGGCTCAAGGCACGGACAGGCGGTGGCTGAGACCAAAACCTGAGGGAGAGAGACAGGAGAGTCAGCCTGAGGCCAAGAAGGTTAAGGCCACAGCCCAAAGAGGGGCATAGGCTGGGGCCAGGGGCCCACAGTCCAAAGAGGGGAAGAGACAAGAGCCTGAGAGAGTGAGACAGGAGGCTGGAGCCTAGAAGCCAGGTCCAGCATGGTGGGCCTGGGCTAAAGGGTACAGCTAGAGAAAAAGGGTGATGGCCAGAAAAGCTGAGGCCCTAACAAGGGTGTAGAGGCCTAAGGAGGCCTGATATGGGACTGGGGCTAAGTGCCTGTTGAAATGATTAATGGGTTACACTTGTGAGGCCTGGGCATAGCTGTAGGGGAGGTCAGAGGGCACAAATAGCCTTAAGGTAACAGGTGCTCTAGGGCATGGATGAGCCGGGAGGGCTCACTTAACATTCAAGGTACAGGATTTGGGACCCAGATCTGAGAGAGAGCTGCTAGGCAAGAGATGTACAGGGGCTCAATCTCGGGACTGGGGACAGCCTCCCTTGTTACCAATTACATCAAGGCATGGCAGGAGGGGAAAAAGAGGAGAGTACCCAGGGAGCCAGAGCACAGCAAGAGCTGTGTGGTCACTAGGGGTCATCATGGCCGCCCCCACCCTCCCCGCCGGGACTCAGTCCTTGTTACAGGAGCTTATTGAAAGCACATTGAATTCCTTTAGAAGGAGCTCCTTTTATATCAAGAGTTCTTGGATCAGCTCCTGTTGATTTTAAAATCACAGCCAGCTTACCTCTAGACGTGCTGCTTGCTGGTAGGTTTCCTCTGCTTTCCTGTGGGAAATGCATTCAAATAAACCCCACTCTGTTGGTTTAGTACAGGGATGTCAAGCATACGGCCCTTGGAGCCTCACCATCTGGCCCCTGGTGCTGCCCCTGAGTCTGATCAGGCCCAACCAAGGCATGTTGCATACCTGTGGTGCAGTGCTGGTCCATGGGTTGGGTCCAGCCCACAGATCTTGTCCCCTTGTAAGTTATTGGTTGATGGGGAACATAGCTAATCCATAAATGTTCCTAACGTCTCTGTTTAGCATACTATGTGAGTATGAGTGTAGCCCTGAAGTCGATGGCAACATTCCCAGTGAGGAATTGGGGACCAATTCACCTTGTATATATCATGGATTACCTTGTGAGGGGCCAAGTTTTGCTTCCCCTGAAATCTACTGACATTTTGACACTGATTTCAAAGAGAAGCCAGAACTGGCCTGTGTTATAAATATCTTGGGTCCTAATAATATGTTTTATGTACAGGATTTAAATATTCTAAGCAAACAATTAACTTCTCCAAAAGTTGTGGAAATACTGGCAAAGGAAAATCCTTTTGTACGTGACAGAGATGACAGCAACTTGGAGCATGAGGTATGAAAGGAAAGAAATATTCATTATTTCAGAGGATGAAAAGACAATTGCTACAGAAACCTTTTAGTGTTATTTTTAGAAGCTGCCAGCAAACAGTAGATCTTTGTTTTTACTTCATCATATAGTTTTTTGAGCTTATATACTTCTTATTGTTCCATGGTGTGCTTGTTATTGTGGCCTTCTGACTTCCAGGGTACATTCTCTAAATCCTAGGATTGTTCAGCAAGTATTAAGAATATTCTTTTAAAGTACAACATACAGTGATATTCATCCAGGACAGTGGAAGACCCTTTGCAACCATTAATTTCTAAGGGGGGAACTGCAAAGTGGGGAGGAGGTCTCAGCGGTTCTGGACATATTGGAGGCGTTAGGACAGCTGTGGGCCCCCAGATCTGCATGGGTACGGGTCCCAGAATGCATGAAGAGGGGGCATGAAATGAAGGAGCCTATTTCCCAGCCCATAGGCTAAAGTACAGAAGGACTTCCTTACATCCAGCCTCTGATTTCATTCCATCAGTCCCTACAAAAATTGCCCTTGGGCTTTGTCTAGGGAGGCTAAATTTTACCCCTAAAAATTAATTTTCACATAGTAGAAATCTCTTATAAATAATGTAACTGAGCTTGTCTTTTAATATCTGTATTTGATAGCATGGTTGAAACAAGTGCATTTATTACCAAGCAAAGAGAAGAATCCATTACCTGGCCATTGTTATGATGTAGCAGCATTGTATGTAATGATTCATGGTCAGCCAAAACCTATGCGAGCCAAATGACAATACTAGTTATCTTGCAGCCCGTTAGGGAGAGGGAGATTCTTGAGCTTTAATATCAGGAGTAGTGAAAACTTAGCCAGGGAGATAATGCAGTATAGTATTTTAATTTAGTTTATATCATGTGAAATATTGTATAATCTGAAAACAGGATTTAGTAATTTTGATCAACTAGACTTTGACTATGTTCAGAGATTAAATATTTTCTTTGTTTGTTTCACTCTAGTTGGTTTTTCTTGAATTCTTTGAAGCTCTCCTGGATTGTGCACTGTTATATGTTACCAGTGATATGATTAAGCAGCAAGTAGAACATGTCAGTCAGAAAAGAAGCAGTTGTAGGAGTGAGGATTACTCAGGAGTCAAGCATACAGCTCAGCACCCAGAATGCCTCTCACATCGGGTAAGATGGGTACAGGACGAAGTAAGCTATGTTATAACTGCTGTTATTACTATACCCACAGATTTCTGTAATTTCTGCAATTGTTCTAGTTCCATAGAAACAGATTTAGATGTCTACTTTTCATGGCTTCATGGAAAAATGTGCAAGTGTTTGTGTGGGAAGAAGACAAGTGGATGGACATTTTTGATAGAGTGGAGGAAGTGATGTGACAACAGATGAGTGCCTTGCTTAGAGTAGTTCTTTGGGTAGATGCGATATATCTTTTATTAGACCAACTAAATACTTGGAAAAATTTGTTCTTTAAAAGCTTTCAGGCACAAACGCCCTTCTTCAGGGATAGGGAGAGTTTGTTGGTGTTTGTGTGCTCTTCTAGGTAGAATAGAAGTCAATATGCAAAAACAGGTCTGTAAAAATGCAAATACATGGCAGTGAGGATCTGAGGGAATGGGAGGCAATAGATGAGAGACAGGGAGGGGCAGGAGGAATATAGAACTGGTGATAGAACGTAGTTGGTAAAATGCAGACAGGTTACCTGGGGTTATCAGATGGCAGGCAGGTTATAATGTGCCGTAAATCCAATGTCTACATTTAGTCCATGATTTTTTGTATCCATTAGATTTATGAAGTGAAGTTTGTAGGTTCATCTATAAAAGGTGTTTTGTAAATTCCCTTTGAGGATTAGAACTGAGAGATTGGAGAGAGAGTGGTTATCTTGTGAGAAGTGTGCACCTACAGGTAATTGGGTGTTTTTGTCTTTGATAGATTTTTGGTGTGCGTTCATTCTGGTACACAGTTATTTGGTTTCTACATATTTTCCATCTGGGCATTTAGTGCACTGGATGAGATTAGATTATATTTCTGGAGGTGCAGGTGTAGTTATTGTGGGAGTGGTGGAAATGTGTTGGGAAGGTTTTACATTTCTTGCTCTGGCATGGTCTGGATCCATCTGGTGTGCTTTGGGTCATAGGAAGTTTGCTTCTGGTGATGTGGTTGGTGAGACTGAGTGCTTGTTTAAAGGCTAGAATGGGTGGTTCTGGAAAGATCTCTTTGAGAATTGAGGCGTTTTCTAGTATGGGTTCCAGTTGTTTGAGGATTTTCCATATAGGTTCCCGGGAAGAATGGTATGTCACCAATGATGTGTGATTCGCGGGGATTTTCTTTTTGTACTGCAGCAGTACTTCACATGGTATCCTGGTGGCCCTTTCAAAAGTATGATCTCTCTCTCTCTCTCTCTCTCTCTGGAGGAATGTGCTTGTTGGATGAATGCCCTTTTGAGATTTGTGAGGTTTGTGATTGGGTATTCTCTGCAAATTCGGTGGTATTGGAAGACTTGGCTATATATTACAGCTTTTGTGGTGTGTTTAGGGCAGGGGTGAGCAAAATATGGCCTAAATGATGAAGATATCATCTATACATCTTAGGTATAGCATGGGTTTGATGGTGCAGCTCTTGAGGAATTCTTCCAGGTGGGCCATTTAAAAGGTTGGCTTTTTGGAGGGCCATTTTGGTGCCCACAGCTGTGCCCACAGCCTGGAGGAATTGTTGGTTATTGAAAGTGAAGTTGTTGTATGTGAGGATGAAGTGTGTAAGTTCAGTAATATCTTTAGGTCTGTATTCTTTCAGTTGTAATCTTGCGCTTGTAGATATGCAAGGCAAGCTTGGATGCTATCCTGGTGTGGGATGTTGGTATATAAGCTGGTAACATCCATGGTGGCTAGGATGGTATTGCTGGGAAAGTGATCTATGTTTTTAAGTTTTTGTAGAAAGTCTGTTGTATCTTGGACAAAACTCACTCTTTGGGTGACAAGAGGTTTTAGGATGGATTTGATGAAAGCCGATATTTCCTCATTTAGGGTTCCATGGTTGCATATTATAGGTCTGCCTGGGTTTTTTTGTTTGTGGATTTTAGGGAGCATGTAAAAAGTCCCAGGGTTAGGTAGTGGGGGGGATCCCAGTTCTATAGTTTTTCTTGTAGTTCAGTTGGAAATGATGTGATGGTGGTTTTGAGTTTTTTAAGGTGAAAAGGGGAGTTGGCTCTTCTCCTGTTTTTCATAGTAGGTGGTGTCAGAGTTGTCTCTTGGCTGCTTTTATGTGGTCTTCATAGTTAAGGATAACTATAGCTCCTCCCATAGGCAACTGGTAAGGGGTGCATGGGGGTGCACCTGCCCCCCCTGACGGGGACGGTGCTCCCCTGATGGCTGACACCAACGCTGTTGGCAGGGCTGGTGCCCCCCCTGACAGGGCCGCCACTGTTGGTGGCTTCTGCAGGTGCCCCCCCAGATTCAGGAGGCACCAGTCACTCATGGCTCCTCCTCTATTTGCTGGTTTTATTTCTATTTGGTGATGGTTCTTAGAGATTCTGTGGCCCTTCTCTCTGAAAGTGAGAGGTTGTTATAGTGGTGTTTGTTGATTATTTCATTGACTGCTCCAGGGAAAGAATGAACAATATACCGGTTGAGGTTTGAATTTCATCCACTGTGAGGTGTCCAATCTGATGGTTTCTTTGGATTTTTTGTTGTTAATCTTTTCCTTGATGTTGTCACAGGATGAAGTCTTGTTGACAGTGGATTAATTTTGGTTATGGAAATATTCCTTGAGACACAGGCGTTGAGAAAAATTCTTCTAGTTCTACATTGTAGTATCTTATTAGGGTATTTTTCCAGACAGAAATTAAGGCCTTTTAGAGAGGACAGAATGGTCAGCTTTGGTAAGGGTGTGCATGGAGAGAGTGATGATAGTTGAGAGCTGATTGGTTCCTTCAGCTTCATTGGGTCTGAGGTTGGAATGATGTACAGTATTGGTGTTGTTTTTCTGCTGGTTGTTTAGTGGCTGGGAAAGCTGTTCCTGTGGAAATTGGTTCCATTTCTTCTTTTTATGTTGGATGGATGTTGTAAAAAATCTTTGGTAGTCTTTTTGTATTTGTTGTATAATGTTTGGGAAGATATTTGGATCTATCTCTTTAAGTTTTTGTATTATGTATTGATTTTCTTCTTGAGTCAATCTCTTTTTGGAGTAGGTTATGTGAAGGAGATGATAAGTTTTTCTGAAGTTCTGCATAACTGTGAAGCATATTTGGAGCTGTGTGTAGTAGTCAGAGGATTGTAGATGTTCACTCCTCTGGGAATGATGTTGTGTTTCTTGCATAGGCTTAGAAAATATATGTCGATGTTGGGTTTGCCTTCTTCGTGTTGTGAAGTTTCCATGCTTAGAGTACAGTTCTGAAAACTGTGCTTGTAAAAATGGTGTTATGAGTTCTACATTCAATGACTCTCTTGCTCCTGGTCATCAAATGGGTGCTTTCCATCTTTCTTAACTTATTAATAAGATAGAGCTGACCAAATGATGCTTTCAGAGACAACTGTGCAAAGGTGCTGACAGCAGAGAGGCAGCAGAAGGCATCCTTTGGCATGCAGAATGGTTAGTCTTGGGAATGCTGCATGAGATTAGAAGAACCCACCCTGCATCTCAGAGTCCTGACAGAGTTTGAAAATGTTGGTAGCTTAAGAGCCCAAATAAAAGACCTTTTTAACCTGTAAACTGGGCCGATTTTAGAGCCAGTGGGTTTCAGTGAATATGGAACCTACAAGGCTACTTTCAGATAATGCTATGAAAAATGACCTCATTGTAAAGAGTCTCCACTATATATGAAATAACCTGTTGGAAAAACTACTTTAGACATAGAAAAGTTTATTGCTTTCATTAGCCAGGCACTTGATACTTTGGTATGCAGAAGGTTTAAATCAACTGGTGGAAGTGAGTGGTTTGACTTTGATTTTTGCTGTTATAGACACAAACACTTCTGTGTATTTTTGCATTAGTCCATTCATAGCAGAAGTACGATCAGCGCTGACACAAACCGTGAAGCTTCTGAGGCAAGTCATTTCTGTATTGGTACGATGCCATCTTCAAGCAAGATTGCCGAGTCATCAAACTCTAACAAGATAAAGAAACCTGAGGTCTGTAAATCAAGTGCTTTGCAAAAGAGAAGGGGGAGGGGCCATCATTTCTGCTATGTTAGAGTCTGAACTGGGGGGCAGCAGCTTTTCCTCTTGTGTTAAGTCTCATGTAGTAACAGTCTGAAATGTGTTTGGGGAAAAAGCTGGCCACAGTGAAATTGTTGTACTTTGCCATTAATTGCAATAGGATGAAAGTTAACTACTGTTACTGTATAATACATACTTATGCATGCATACACATTTAAACATAGTATTTTTCCCTAACTCCTTCTGCTTAGTATTTTGCTTTCCCTTGTACGTTTGATATTCTGTCTAAAGCTGGAAAGAGACCATAAAGAATTATGCAATAGCTGCACCTTTGGGAGTTGGCGCATTACATTTCTGGCATGATGAATAAGCTAATATTGCCATAAATAGAAATGTGCCACACATTCATCACATTTATGGTGCCACAAAATGTGAAAGCAATCACAAAGACATTCCTCAAAATGTGTAATATCTTTGTAGCTGGTTTATATGGCACCATAAATGGAATGTGTGGCATGACCCAGCATCTGGATGTCAACAAGCTGATTGTTGACATTAGAAAATGGGCAGTCCCAGGTTTAGAACTTGTCTGAGTGCTGCCCTCGTCCCAAAACTAACAGTTAATGATTGTCAGCCTTGGGATATGGGCTTGCCAGGACCTGGCAACTTAAAGAGCCTTGCTCTGCAGCCCCTACTCTTTAATGTTCTTTTAAGGTGTTTGGTCCCAGCAAGCCTCAGAACATGAAGCAGCTCCAGGGCCTGGTGCACAGCCCTTCCTGATCCTCAGGGTCAGACAGGGGACAGCCCTGGGTCTGAACCAGGGCTGGGGCCAACCAGGGTTGGATTCCAATGCTTATCAGGATTCAGCACTGGGGTCTGGGACAAAGTTGCCACTTGCCCAGTTGGCAGGATAGGTCTGGGGGCAGCTCCAGGTCCCAGAGGCTGCCCCCAGACCTGGCTGCCTGCTGATCTATCCCAGGGGATGCTGGGCAGCTCTTTAAAAATAGATGCACAGGTGAGGATGAGCAGCTTCTCCCATCCCCAGCTGCACAGGCTAGTTCAAAGATGCACCCTACACATGCATTGGGGCATGGAGGGGGCTCCCCCCATCCCCAACTGCATCATGGGGGGGTGCCATGAGTCTGACATTGAGGAGCTTCTACCAATGTCAGACTTATGGCACCCAGGGAACTCAGAAAAGCAGGCAGGCATTCAGCCATGGCTCCCAGGTGCATGCATGCTTTTTAAAAGCCGAGAACACTATGAGGGTAAGGCTCCCCAGTGTTTGGCTCACTGCACCCTGGAACTTTACAAAGTGAATGTGCAGTTGCGAGCCCCAGTTGCTTACTTGCTTTATGTTCCCAAACACCCATGAAAGCAGTACCTGAGGAACACTGAGCTCTTGGCTCCCAACTGCTGCTTCCGTGTGTGGGAGGGGTACAGCTGGAGAACAGGGAGTTTCTCAATCCCCATCTGCAGATGCCTCCCTCTGCTGGCAGCTAGCATTCATTCAACTGGGGTTTGAGAAATGTTATGACCTGTTCCCAGAATTGTGTGACCTGCCATGCACATCTGCATGGTCTGGGGAATGGAGCATAGGATTCCTCGGACCCCAGCTGCATGACTGCCTTAACAGCTGCCAGCAGCCTTATAGCTGGGAACAGCAGGACACTGGGGAGTCCGTCTTTAGTTGCTGGGGGAGACTGGGAAAAGTTAGGAACTGGAGAAAGAGAAGGTGTTCCTGTTTTGTTGTATCTGATAGAACATGCCGTATTTTCAGTATGTTTTGTTTCTGAAAACAAGTTCCTTTGTATATTTTGCATCTCATCTGTTTACTTTGGAATGAAGATAAGCTTTAACTATTCTTTCTTCCTGTTAATGTTACCAAGTTAATAGAACTGGATAAGAGCAGCCTGGAATATGTCCATCCTCACACAAGAAGAACTGCAGAATCTCATCACAAAACTGCAGGGTCAAATTCTGCTAACAGGAACCTTTGCAACTCTGCCTTTGCAAAGCTCTGTCCAGTGATGTCGCGCTGATATAAGTGGGGGCAGAAGCTGGTCTATAACATCTTTCAAGTGTTTTCACAAAGAAGTATGAAAGAGCATGCAATAATGATTTAGCTTTTTTAGATTAATTTGAGTTTCAGATCCCAGGAGAAATGTGGAGTTCTGGCTTTTATCACATAGTATCTGATATTGAGCATTTAGGGATGAGAAGTAGAATGTCATTTTATGGGCACATGTCAGAGGACACAATAGTGTAAGGCTGCATAGGATGAATCGTGAAAGGAGGAGGATCACAGGCCTGTATTCGTTTTCTCTTTTCACATTCTCCATTAACTTCTCTCTTTACAGCTGTATTTGTGCAGTTGTTTGGGCTAGCACTTTCTTCCACTAATTAATATAGTCAGTAGTAAAGATTCACTGCAATTTCAATAAGATGGGAAGACTAATGCTAGCTGCCATAGAAGGATGTGCATGACAAGACCCTCTTTATATTCAGCAGAGCTCTGAGGAGCAAGGTAGTTGTCTTCTGAAAGCCTGTGGCTCAAAAGCTTGTTCACTGTTACTGTAGATCAGGGGTGGGCAAAATATAGCCCACAGGCTGAATCCAGCCCACCAAAGCATTTCATCTGGCCCACAGCAGGTCCCTTGGCCCCACCTGGCCCAAGTGCAGGGGGCAGCCTGAGAGGTGTGTAGCTAGTCTTGCCGTCTTTGGCCATGCAGTGGGGCTGGGGAAGTGTAGTACCGAGACTCCATTTCCCAGCTGCCCCAGTGGTGGCTCCTTCTGGCTGCCGCTGCCAAGCCTCAGCTCCAGCCCCGCTGGCTGGGCACCCTGGCCCATCCACCCCGTACCCACAACCAGGACTGCCAGATGGAGTGGACAGGGTCTCCATGGAGACTGGCTGGGACCCACACAGGCAAGATGCATGGCTAGGTGGCTGGAATGGGGCTGCGGGCAGACAGGGAGTCATGTCCAAGAGCAGGACGGTTGGGGGCAGGGCTGGAGATAGGGATTGGGATCTTGTGGCAGTGATGACATGGTGCTGGGCTGCGATCTGCCTACATTTTCCTTTCATGGGTACCGGTTCTGCAGGTAGGGGCATGCAAGGAGCGGATCATGGCTCTGCCCCCGGCCCTGGCCCTGCGCTGTCACAACCCTGCAATCCCGATCCCATTCCCAGACGGGGCTCCCTGCCTACCCGCAACTCCATCCCATCCTCCCAGCTGTGTGCCCTGCCTGTGCAGGCCCTGGCTGGTCTCGAGGGCAGCTACAATCCACTCCCTGCATGTCCCTGCCTGTGGAACTGGCTCCCATCACAGGGATGTGTAGGAAGCAGATCATGACTCTGTTCCAGGCCCTAGTCCCACACTGTCTCCACCCAGCAATCCCAATCCCAGTCCCAGCCCTGGCCCTGCCTGCCCATCCCACTCCTGGATGCTACTCCCTGCCTGTCTGTGGCTCCATCCTAGTCAGCTGGCCATGCCTGGGAGCCACTTAGAGCTGTTGCAAGGGGGAGGGTGCTGGCCTGGTGCTCAACAGCTCACTAAAACTCCCCAAGTGGTCCTCTGGCCAAAATAATTGCCTGCTCCTGCTGTAGATGGATACTTGGGCAGGTAACATGAGTTAATGTACTGAACAAAGGGCTAGGAACCAGGCAGTTCCATGTTCTCATCCTGCCTCTGTTGCTGTCTCACAGTATGTTCTTGGACTAGTCACAGGCCCAAATTCTCCAACTTCTATGAAGCTCCTGGGGGGTACTGCGAGTTTCACTGTTTGCACAAGAGCCAGTTTCTAACTTGGGACTTTCTCTGTCTGTGCCTCTATTCCTCCTGCTGTGAAACAGATGTAATCTTATATCCCTAAATGGTATCACAGTGATACTGCTATGATTGAGGAGCTAATGTTTGTGCAAACCTTTGAAAATGTCAAACACTGGCAGATGCCAAGGATTGGAAAATATATATTATAGCAGGCACAAGTGCAGAATCTGCTTTTGTGGGAGTTTCTTGTCCTCTAATGTAGTAGCAGACACGATTCAAAATGCACTGGGGTAGAGGGAGGCACAACTTCTGAAGCAATTCCCTTTTTCTTTTCAATGCTAGCTTAAGTCTAAGGACTCTACATCTGAATGTAAAACTTCTCCGCAGACTCAGAAGCTAAATGAGAAAGAAAGAGGTTCATTTATTCAAGCATCTTATGCTGGTGAGTACTATTGTGTAGCAGTTAGCATCTAGAACAACAGGTAGGAAAGTGAGCATATGGCTCTCACTAGAACCACCGAGTTAAAAATATAGCTCAGCATTTGTACAGTTGAATGTATCTTGATTATGGAGTGAAGGCAGCATTTAGTTTTACACTTAACACAGATCTTAAATCACTTCATTTAACACTTCATCTCCATACGTCTGTGCCATTGCAATCATGGCCAAGCTTGAAACTGAGTTTATTTCTGCACTCCATTTGTCTTGTTTCAGAATCCCTTCCCTCGTTCTTGGGGAAGTCTGTTTTTCAGATCAGAGCTTAAGTGTGTGACCAGCCACAGCAGTTCATTCCCCATCTTAGCTAACCTTGTCAGACACCAACTCAATTAAAACAGTTGTGCAACTTTCGCTGTCCCTGTAGATGCTTTTGGGGACACTTCTGCTTTGTGTGTTTGGGCACAGGAGGACAGGACTAGAACAGGTGAGCAGGCAGGCCACATGGTCAGCTCAGTTTTCCAGCCCATTGTTAACTTGGTTGGAGCTGAGGAATAGGTGTTGACTGGGAGGATAAATGACTACTTAAGGGGAAAAGGGCCTGGAAAAATGGTCAGTAGTTTGCAGGGAAGAGAATTATTCATATGCAGGTGAGCTTGAGAAACACTTTAGTGCTATAAAGAGACAGCAGCAGTCCCCTGCAGTTTCACTAATTAACTGCTGTGGTGTTCCATGGAGCCCTGGTGTCCTGAGCTTGCCCAAAGGGCAACAGTGGATTCTCCTGCAGAACTTAGCTCTGCAAGCGCCAAGTAGGATTTGAAGCCAGTCACAGCATTCTCTGTTCTACACTTCTCCCAGGCCACTGCAGGATGTCCTTGTTGCAATGAAGTGCTACTCAACATAGCCATCTTCTACATCTTTCATTCTCTTCCCCAGTTCAATCACTAAAAAAACACGGAATGAGCAGTTAATTGGGACCATTAATCTTGGGCCAGCCTCAAGCCACACCTTGGCACCAGCTGCATTCACAGACTCCTCTCCTTTTTTGCTTTGAACACAGTATTGTTCATCATACACAGCTCTTCCCTCTAAATCATGCTTGCACGTGCACACCTAACACTGATCTTAAGAATTTTAAGGTAATGATAGTCATTCACTAATAAATGTACATTGATCAAAGATTGATGTAGTTGGGTGAAAGTTAAAATTGGGTATGCCAAGGGCTGGATGTGGGGGGTTCAAAGGTATTTTATTGTGGAAGAAGTAGTCAGATAGGATGGATGTTTTGTGTCTCTTTGATGAGGGGGGTGGATGTCAGTGTTAGCCTAACAAGTGTTTTTCTTGATTTTTTTTTTTTTTTTTTTTAATGTTTGCAGCAGTAGAGAATGGTAGATAAGTCTTAATTTTATGTTCATTTTGTTTGTATAGCAACTTTCAGAGGGTTCTCAAAACCACAGATGCCTAATGCAAAAGGAGATGGGTTACTTACAATTTATATCACCTGCTGACCTTAGTAGAGATGTATTGGTGAGGTCTTTTGCAATAGAACGCTCGGATGTTATACAAGTTTCAATCCGTGCTGCAGCTAATCACCCTAAATGATTTTCTTCTGTCTGCTGATTACTGTACTATATTGTTGTTAGTTCATTTTATGACAGCCATACAGCTGAAACCTTGTGCTTATGAGTTACATTTTTAAATGTAATGATTAATGATAAAATTGCCCATGGTAAAAGAGACAATATTAGGCTGAAACATTCCTTCTCAAACCTCACCCATCTCTGCAGGAGTGAAACCCATTCAGCAAAATTAGCTTTTTTTTACTGGGGCAAAGCTATATGCAAACTGCAGCACTGTGCTGGAATGACAGGTAACAATTTATAGTTGCTTAATATGGAGACATAAAAAGTTAACATGTTAAATGACTCAGTAGTCTGAAAATATTTTCTTCCCTGCAGCACTAAACAGCTCCTTCTCCTCCAGCACAGCACACCTACAATCTACAGATGACAAAGATGAAATATTAGTACAGTCGTTGCCCATTTTGGAGACAGAAAAAGGCCAAGTTCTCAGCAGTCCAATGAAAGAACTGGCAGGGAAAGTAGTCTTGAAGATTTGGTACCAGTTTTAAACAAACATACAAAAAAAAAAATCACTCAGCTCAGGAACTGCTAAATTTTAATTGAATAGTAGATTCTAACCCTTCATGCTATTGTCAGAAGAGGGCAGTAAAAGAACATCTAAAAGAGGAGAGAGCTAGTTCAAAAGAAATTAAGTCACTTAAAAAATAAGATGTGTAATGATTTCTCCTCCTCCATGTTTCCCCAGTTTTAAAATGATACTCCTTCCTTTAAAGGGCACTGTGAACTTATGCATAAATGAATATGTTCATTCTTACTCGGTGTGTGTCCTTATTTACCATCATTACCTGGAGTAAGAAAATGCATATTACAGAGCATAGTTCTACAATAGTGCACAGGTAATTCAGCTGGTAAATAATAGTTAAGACATGGTAGTTAAGGGCACATGCAATATGTAGCATTTAATCTAAACATCCACTTTTTGTCCTCATGGTGGTCATCTGCCTACAGTAGCCCCTGCCTCTATAGGGATTCTTGTTTCTGTTGTTCTTCATAACTGTGGAAGTCCTTTTACTGCTGAGGAACTCCAGATGCTAGAACAGAAGCAAAAAGCTCCAGCTTTGTGTAGTGACTGTCTGTATGGTATTCTCTCTCTTCTCTTAAAATAAGTAGAACAATGATAGGGTAAAGGAGCATGTGAGTTTAGAATCCAAAATTGGACTGCTGTTTAATTGCACTGGATTTTGTGTATTGGCACAAGAAATCAGGCTCTGTTCATTCTACTTCTATGCAAAAACTTACTTTTTTGTGTGTGTCTATTTAGAACTGTTTTTAAAAGGGAGGACACCCTTGTCAGAGTTACATTCCAGCAGTAAAACCACTGACCTCAGGCCACCCATGGTTTTTTTTAGTGTTCTGGACCAAGCTCTTCCTATCCGAGCAGAACTACTTTAAAAGACACTGATCCACATCCCCACCTCTTTTCTGCTATATTTTTCCCTTTGGTCCAGGACCTACATAGTTACAGATTTAGAGGAAGGAAGAACAGGATTTGCATCTTAAAGGAGCCAGTGCTGAGCTTCCTCAAGCATGAGCTTCATCATTTCAAGCATACCTAACTGCTGTGATCTTCCTTTCTTCTGTGTTGTGTACAAGACAAACAGATATGAAATTGCTACAGCAGTAATGTTAATGCTAGATGAATGCCTCTACAATAGAGTTCAAAGGGGAAACCTGCTTTGCCTGTACTCATGGCCCCTCCATTATGGTGGTTAGAGACAGCCAGTTACAGACTAAAAGGAAGGAGGCTACCATTTCTTTGCCATTGCCATACTGTTTATGGAGGTTTTCCACAACAAGTAGCCCTCCATACTAGGCAACAGAAAGCACATCTCCTACAAACTTGGCAACTTCGCGTGTCAGAGAGGACACACTGCAATTATAATTTAAATATTGTTACAGATAAACTAGAAAAAGCCGAAAGTGAACAGAAGGAAAAATTCAATTTTTGGCTAAGCCAGCTATATATCTTTTTTGTGACTACGTTCTTTGCTGCCTACAAGCATGAACAAGTGGTGAGAGAAAAAATAAAAGAAAATCAAATACGGGAGGCTGAACTAGAAGCACTGAGGAAAATCAAAGATGAGGAGTTAGCAAAGTAAGTCTTAAGTCTTTTTATTTTACACTGTGCTGAGTCAGGTCCATTTACAAAAGTACCACCTTAATGAAAATGGAGTTAGCTTTGCTCTGCTCACTTGGAAATTCATGCTGTTCTACTCCTAGATTACAGAGGAGCTAGTCCTTTTGAATACATTCTGATTACTGGTTGCACTGCAATTTAAATTGGGAAACTAGCCCTCACTTCTGTAACAAATGAAGATAAATTAATGGAGAGGTAGTATAAGGTGTTTTCATAAGATTACCTCTTAGTCCCCTATACATATGGGTATATTCCTCATAGATATACTTTCTAACACTTATAAGACTTGCTTCTCATAAAAAATATTTTGACTGAAGCACATTTAACAGCTAAACAACTGCAACTCCTGGTGGCCTAAATGTTGCAGCTTCTTGTCACTAGGCTTGGGGCTCATTAGAACACCTAGTGGGGTGATGGGGCAAAGGGGCTCCTGAACTCCTCAGTTCTTCAGCATTAGGGAAGGAAGGAATTGACCTTACATGGGAAGGGCAGTGACTTGGCTCATGGAAGGAAAGTTTCAGCCCATAGACTGATCTATTTGTCTCTTACAAGGCTAAGATGGTGTTGCAGATCTACATGTTCCTTCCCCAGTGTGAAACCAGTCATCTTTCCCAAGTGCATCCTTACAGGGCCTTGTTCACACTAGCTGTACCAGTATAACTGTGCCAACACTAAGGCCTGGTCTTGTATCAGTATAAGAGTTTTCAGCTATACTATACTAACACACTCCTATTCATGCATGGCAATAAGCTATATATAATTTAAGATATCGTTTTAAAGGTAATCACATGCACATTAGGGCCTGTATAACAATTCCTGAGAACACATTCCTAATCAAAATGTTGACACTTCAGCTGAGCTCTAGAGCATTCAAAGTCTACCCAGCTACTAATTTTTAATACATGCCAGTTAATTGGGCAGTACTGTTAATAAACTATGGTTAAAACTTTCTAAAGCACTTTGGTCTTAACTGATCTTCGAGTTAGTATTTTTGAAAATGGAACTCAAGTAAATTTCAAGAGCACTGAATGTCTTCAGGGCATTGCACTGCTGTGACAGATGAAACTAGGTCATGTCAGGGCTCACTCAGTGTGTCCACCATGACGCACTTTTGAGGAGGCTTCTTGCACAGACATTTGGAAGCAGCTGTGCAATCTTAACTCAATACTTTTACAAGCATTATTGGTTGAATTTTGGCTTGAAGTTAGAATCCCTTTCAACTACTTGTTCTAGAAGTTACTTCCAGGAAAGACCAGGCCCAGACACACGCTCCTGTCCAAGACTAATTTTATTTCAGGGTGTCCCTCATGTTCAGGTGGCCGAATATTTTTGGCTAGTTTGCTTCTGTGCTGTGAGCTAATGCTCCAGCTAGCTTTGTTGTGTTTGACAGAGTAGCCATGCCTGTGTGCACATTGCTCTTACTGCAGCTGTGCTTGGGCTTTTTCTCAAGCAGTAAGACTCCTACACTGCTTGCCTCTCTAGGGGAGAGGAAATTACTTGCCTGTACTTGGTTTCAAAGAAGCAGATCTTACAGAGTTGTCACTCACCTATTTCCTTCCAGAGCTTGAAGCTCCTTTTGAAATTTCTCTCTTGTCTTTTTTTTAGTAGGGCAATTAAGTTTAGGCTTGGCATACAAAGCTGTATTGATACACTAAATAAGTATTTAAAAATATATATGTATACATCACTTGTTAATTAACTGCATGGTACCTTAGGTTTGGCTTGAATATGCACAGTAGCCCTAACAATACCCATAGAAGCCAAGTTCAAACCCAGGAATGTTTACATCCAGCTTCACTGAGTGACAGACTTAGAAGTGACATTAGTTTAACTGTAAGTATTGTAGAGAAAAATCCTTAGATGGGTCTCTCAGTTCTTCCTTTTGAGAGGTTTGCATTTTGTATAAGGCACTTGTTCCAGCTGTTTCTGTTCTTTGATGGCTGATGTTACATTGCACCTCATGTCATGCCTTAGTGGTCAAACAGCACCTTGAGAACTAAGAGACACATCTTCCAAGACATGCATTTTTTTTTCCTTTTAAGAACATGCCAGAGTATAACATGATTTAGATAATATGCAAGGATATGTGGAATTTTACCACTTGTTACTTAAAGTGGGAACAGCAGAGTAAACTTACTTTAGGAAGGAATTAAAAGGATTATAGTTTTTCTTTAGGGAAACGGACGCTGCACATAATCACAGTATAGGTGTTTGCATAGCAATACAAGGTCTTAACATTTTGCAAGTTTCCTGCAATAACAAGCCAGTCTGATCTGTTTGATCTCAGGCTTATCAGCACGAGAGAAGAAGCCAAAAAACAAGAAGAAGCTGCAACAGAAAAAGCATTAGAGACAGAGAATGGAGCAGTAAAAGAACCTGAGGATTCAGTAATGCAGCTGCCACCTCCTCCAAAGGAAGAAGCAATCGTTGCTCCCCAGCCTGTGATTACTAAGGTTGCTGCTGCTTTAAAGAAAAAGAAGAAGTAGATGATGCCAAGACTAAAGCTGTATGTACACAGGAGGTGTATTAATGCTAAGATAACTAGATTTTACAGAGCTAAAAGGGAAATCTAAACATTACAATATAAAGTTACAGGACATGAGTGCCAATACAATTAGTTCCATGGTGTTTCTTTATTTTGGAGGGAAGTTTGTTTAAGCACAAGCTAAAATGACTGCTCTTCCTCTTCACCCCAATATAGACAAGCCTGAGTCTACCTCCTGGCTTGAAAATACTTCTACACATTTGTGGTTACATGGAGTTTATTTGACTTTTGGAGAATACAAAGCTGGACAGCTAGTTAGAAGAAGTTTTACTATTACAGGTTAAGGGCCACTAGGGTCAAATTTACCTGTTGGCTGTCTTGTTACCATGACACTGGTTTACATAAAATGTGAATCTACACAAGCTCTGCATAAGGTTCTTGCTTCAATTCTTATCGGCCTGTAAAGAACCCAGCTGTTTCGTTTTTGGACCTGATCCTGCATCAAGCCTTATTTGATCTGAGTAGGAACAACTCTCAAAAAAACTGAACATTAGGCTTAGTCTTTCTTCACCTTTAATTGTGTCAGCTCATACTGGAAAGGAACAAGTTAATTTAGTTGTATAAAGTAGAAGAATTCAAGGTAGTTCTTATACGCTTATAGTCTTCAGTGTACTAGTGTAGCAGTCTGAAACTTGACTATGCCTGCTACTTCACAGCTGAACGCTGGAACAAAATCCCCCTCAATTTTACATACTTGTTTATGGAAAAGCTGTACACAGCTGATCAATAAATGAGCACAGTTTGGGAAACATAAGTGCCCTCAAAGTGGTAACAATCATCAGTTTTATTTTCCAGTAAAATATTCACATAACAATATCCGAGAAATGGAATGGTACAGATGAATTAGACCGGGTTTAGTTTGCACATAAATATTCTTAAAATCTAAAAATCTTATGATCAGAGTTTACAGATTTTAGTAGAAATTTGATTCTTACAAAGCAAGTATTGCTTTACTATTGTCATTATTCCAGTCAATAATATGACTAATAACCTTTCATGTTAAACAAAAATGTTTTTTTTTCTGACATTTGGACATCTTCAGTAGATCAGCCCTTGTAGATCAATCCAAGAAGAAAATATTATTGAACTGTGTTGCACAAAGTTTCTTTACTTCTTCTGTAAAAAGAGAGAGAAATAATTCAGAACTCCACACAGTATTGCAAGTTCTGCAAGAGCATATTTTATTATAGAGACAAATAATGCTAAAGAGGAAAAAAAAAATTAAAACTATGTCCAAGAGGAAGAAGACATTACTATTTATTCTACTGTACCCTGAAAGACTCCTATTTAAAAAAGTAAAAACCAAAAAAGAGGGGCTCAGGAGTAAGGTGACTGTGTTCTGCATGTTCACAAGTTTGTTTTCATAAATACTTTGGGGTTTTTTTTTTAATTAAAGCTGGTATTTCCAGTCTGCTGCTGTTGTCATTCTTCTTGCTGAAATGTGAAATGACCTCTAGAATAGCTAAAGAAGCATTTCCTATCTTGTTTTCACATATGGAAGTGAACTTGCCTCTAAATAAAACTTAATGACAAAAAACTGAAATGGATTAATCTTAACACAGGTTCCTTAACAATGGAATATTGATTATTAATACTTTGCTTCCACCCCCCCATCATTTCACACTGACGAAATCCATTCTCTTACTAAATGCTTTGTAAGTTAAGAGTAGTAGAAGTCATTATCAGAATTGACATGTTTCTTAATATACATCTACAGTGAAGTGAAAAATACTTTTTGGGGAGGGAAAAATAGTATTTTAAGCGTTAATAATGATCAGGTACCCTTTGTGAGCAGGTTTTATTATTGTAAAGATGACAAAATACCCACAAATTCAGAAAAGCAGGCATATTCATTTCTAAATACAATAATGCACCTCATTTATTTATCATTCCTAAATTAAGTTTGCAGAGCAGTGCCATTAATCAAGGAGTAAGATAATGGTTACTAATTAATTATTAAAAACATCTTCTGAAAGTCTGCTGAATATTTATATAATCTTGATCTAGCTGCCTTGCAAAACAGGAACAGATACTAAGCCTTGCGCAAGCTGACCCAGATGGTCAGGAGGAAAAATACCTCAGTCAATTTCTTATATAAAAGAAATATGGAAATCTCCCATTACAACATTCTGATTGCAGCAATATTATTTAAAAAGAGCAGTGAAAAGTAAAAAAGCTCCTTACCATTAACTTCAATTAGGTTTGCATTTTTTTGATTCAAAATAACATATAGTTCCCGCTGATCAGACTTTTTCCCAACAACCCAGTAATCACTCATTGCCTTCACAATAATTTCCTCATCTTCATCAACTCTGTAAGAGAAGATTCATATAGCAAACCTTTAGGGAAGTCTAGGCCTGTATTAATAAATAAAGGACAAGTCAGAAAAATAACTCATTAGAAACAACAGCAATGAAGTAAAAAAAAAAAAAAAAAATCTCAAGGAATGACAAGCACACAGAGCAGCTTCATTGTATAACTGTCCTAAAAGTTCTGAATAACTTAGACATGAACTGAGTAACTGATGTCACAGACTTACTGCAGTATGATAGAAACAGCCATCAGAAATAAGTAAGTGTACTGAATGCCAACATAAAACAGCAAGCCAGGGCCAGCAAAGGCTGCAGCCTTCATGAAGGGGAATTTGTTTGCTGGAAGCAAGCCAACCATTTATGTGGTCTATTAGACAACCATGCACATGAGTCCTTTGGAGGAAGCTGCCTGCTGACCCTAAAGGCACAGGGAAAAGTAACAGTTTATAGTACTGCATTTGTTTCACCTTGAATGAATAATATGAAAGAAGAAAATCCTGCAAATAGTTAGCTTTCAGGGTTTTGTTTTTTTTAAGTGATTAGATCAGGCTGTAAACAAGTTAAGAGCTGGATGCTTTGCATAGGTCACCCCCATCTCAGTGTTAACTATAAAGAAACTACTTTCCTTCCATCTCACAGTTCACATAAAGAAATTCTTATATCTGGCCCTTTTCATTGTTGCACAAAACACCTTCAGACCAACAGTCATAACTACTGTCTATAAAACTGTCATATCTTGTCTTCTGTTCACCTACCACTGCTCCTTCATTTTGTAAGTCTCCTTCACATTTGCTTCCTAGTATAATTTGGCTTTTGTTTGTTCCCTCCTCCCTGTGACCTAGTCTTCAATGACATTTACAGGAAAACAGCACCAACAGAAAATGGCTCCAAGCAACTTGCAGCATGTCAGCTCAAGAAAAGCAGAGAAACAACAGGCAAGCTTTGATGCTATTAAAAATGACAGATAAAATACTTTAGATTTCAAACAAGTATGTGGATTTCCTATTTTATACTAAGTACTATTTTAAAGAAGTTAGTATATCAAATTGCCTGTCCTAAAAGATTTTCTTCCTCTGAAGATACTACCACAATTTCATGCTTTTGTTTGGTCTGGCCTTGTAGACAGAGCAAAAGCCCCGTACCATATGCTAGCAGAAGCCCTGCTTATGGACTAGGGTCTCACAGGCACTGTGAGAATATAGCCAACAGCAGCACAGTTTTCATATATTTATATAGGATGCCCACTAAAAAAAAAAAAGTCACTGTTAACATCTGGAAGTAAATGGAACCAAACCCTATTTTCTCCATGATAAGTTACCAGTCTACATCCAATCCAAAGTCTAACCCATCCAGTACCCAGAGTCTGTAACGTGGCCAGCCCTAGTTGCTTCAGAGGAAGATTAAAGCGCTCAAAAGCAGGTAAGGTGTGCAGTTCTCTGCCCCGTCATGTCATGTCATGTTGATTTCTGTTAGAGCGCGACTTAACCTGAAGCACAGGCCTTAACATCCCTTATAAAAAACTATTACTAATTTTGACATTTCTGAATATTTTTGATATCCACGCAAGTCTCCCAATTCCTTTTGAAATCTGTCCCAACATCCCATAGACAATGGAGACAGGTTAGAAATAGCATGCCAACTAGCTGCAAGAACAGGAAAGTCTGCTTTTATTATTATACTGACATGAACAGGAAACAAAAATCTGCCTGACGTTCTACACATAATTAAGGAATGCACATCAACAGATAAGAGGATAATATAGGAAACACCCAAAACATTAATTAAAAAAAAAAATCACCTAGTAAAGTCACTGTTGATATCACCTAGAATCTTCATGAGGTCAGGGTGAACAGATGTGAGTGATATGCTAGGTGTTTTCCTCATATGGACCGTACTTTTCTCAGCCAAGTTCATATGATTGAAATAGATAAACTTAAACTGAGGTTCCTTCTCAGACCTAGATAAAAAAGGTAATTTCTCAGTAATACAACATAATTTTTTAAACATGCATGTTAGTTTACAAATCACTAATCTATGTATTATATAAACTCCATAGCTGGGTAGATTTTCTCTGTACTAAACATTGTACTCCTTACTTTTCAAGGTCTCTGGCTAGGGCAGACACTGCTAACTAGAGAAACCTACTAAAACTCCTAGCACATCCATGACTATCAATTAAACACCAACAGACAAGCAAGTTTATAATCGCATCCATTCTCTTTTTGGCTTTATTTTTTGTCTCTATGTAATGGCATAACCTGCCTCTACAGGCCCTATTACCATACCCCATCCACCTAGTGGGAACATCTCTATCTCCCCTGCACATGAGGATTCACTAGCTTTGAGCATTTTCTCCCCAAACTGACCATGTACGTTATGAATGGGATGGCCTGAAATCCTGCTGGTTGCTGAACTGGCTACCCTGGAAGCTTGTTCCCTGCTCTCCCAGTGTGGAGAAGTCAGATTCTGGCCTGGGAAGAAGTCATCACTAATACGTTTTGTGAAGGATCTCTAGTGATGCATCTGGTTTCCACTGACTGCTATATCAGGAAAGACTTTTACTGGGTAACCTGGATGAGCCAATGACAGTGGATCTGAGATGAGATGGTCTCTCTCTCTTATTTTATTAAGTTATACTTAGTTTAGTATTTGACACTGATTTTGGTAGCAGCCTCTACAATTCAGAGCAGTCTAGGCTTGCTCTTCGTACTTCAGGTTACATGTTATATTGTTTGGAATTCAGCGTCATACGATAGTGAGAAACTATCACTTTAGCACACAAGCAAGTGGCTCCATAGGCTGGATATCTTGCTCTCTTTTATGTCACCCAATTGCATTAGTGCCAAAAGAAAGTATCAGGTTATCAGGACACCACTGCATTAAAGTTTGAGAGGGCGTTAATAAGATGAGTTTCTGCTCCTTTAATTCCCCAGTGACATTTAAAAACCCCCCAAGTATTTAATGATTTAATAGACTGACACAATTTCCAGCTATTTTACTCGACTCACTGTAATTCTGTCTGTTTTGAATATGCTGCAACTATAATTAATCAGTCAAACCCGTGGTTGTGGTTAGACTGGCATTCTTAGAACAGTGATGTTGTATGGCAGCCAAGTATCTCAAAGGACAAAGCAGCCTTTTGAAGAAAATGCTTCTCAAATATTTTGTGGTAGACTGTCACTGATGTTTCATATGAGTGCTTCAGTTCTTCCCAAGAATACTAAAGTGTCTTTTCCTTTATGAGCTTTTTACCAGAAGTTTATCCATCAGTAACATTTCTACATAATGAGACTAAGCTGGCACAGAAATGAGTAAGTGTCTATTTACTTAGCCTACCACACATGTATGCGAAATTAAAGACTTCTTTAGAAAGTGAGACTGTCAGATAAAAGCCACCCAGTTGCCTACACTACAAACCTTGTCCTATAAAAACTTTCTCTGTCCTTACATAATCCTACTAAATAACCTTTTACAGAATCAGGATATTGCCTGCCATGGTTCCTTTGCTTTACCTGTAGCAGATTAGGGTGGTCTGTGTTGTGTCAGAGTTGACAGTAGTCTCATGTAGACTTTAGATTATGGATTGTATAGGATAGGGATGACCCTGCCTCAGGCAGGGCATTGGACTAGATGCCCCCTGGAGATCCCTTCCAGCCCTACGATTCTATGCTGCCTGTAAGGTACAACACTTTCTTTGAGCAATGGTACTGCATAAAGCCCACTTCACTTCTAACATACATACACCCATTAAAATTATCTCTAGGGCTAGCCTCATCATCCCAAACAGACTCCTTCACAGTGTATTAACCTGGCAGCAGCATAAGATGAATGCCAGATGCTGTATGGTTTAAACTCCAACATTTATAATCCTTCCATTTAGTGCATCTGTTATCCACAAACTGTACATTAAACTGAACCACATCCTTAAACCTCTATCTTGTAAATGGCCTGCAGCTTATCTCTGCAGTCCAACATACTTAGTACACTTGGGAAACTTACCCTCCCAGGCTGTCACAATCTATTAGAGTGATGCTACAGCATAACATGCAAAGGAGCTCCAGGAAAAACAAATACAACCACTGCTTGATTTTACATGGTGAAGGGCTTCTGCACAATTTACCCTTGAGCTTAGGGTTAGACGAAAAGTAATGACTCCAATGTCCCAAACAATTACAGCCATGAACTGTTAACTTGGGAAGTGTCCAAAGGAGCAGGGGGATGGGGACTCCTACCCCACAGCTAGTGAAAACCAAACCAGGGTAGTTTATCCCTGAATGAAACAGGGATGGATTGCCTTGCTTTAGCTTTCATTTCCCATGGGATAAAGAGCAAGCAGAGAGATGCTGCAGAACAGCTGCCCTCTAGGATGTCGCCACCTCTTTCTCTCTCTGCACTTGGCTTGTTTGTCCTTGCAAGAGATTACATTGTGCTCATGACAGAGTGCAAGATTTGCAGCTGTATTTTGATGCACACAATAATTTATATTTCTGAACTATGGTGCACATGGCGGGGGGAAGGGGAGACAGAAGGCAAGTGGCACTGTCTATTAAAGTTGCTCACATTCCTGTTTTAAAACCCTAATTTCAGCGGGTTCCAACTGCAGAACTTTAAACATTTAGGCTGAAATTTTTATTTTGGGTTGAGATTTACACTGAATTTAAAAAAAAATTTTAAAGGTAAATTATTGAGCCATTTCCAAAAACAAAGATGGGGAAAAAAAAGTTAAAAATCCTGGGGCCTTTTCCTTTAAGTCATGGCAGCCCAGGTCTTGGTATTGGGACCTGAAATTTGGGAGAAGGTGGCCTGTGTGTAAGGGAGGGACCTTTCCCTTTCCACATAAAGATGCACCTAAACTGGGCCACAAGTTATTAGCCTAGAAAAAACAGTAGTTTTCACATTCCTAGGAGATTTTTGGTGTTAACAGCTAAAGTTTCTTGAAAATCCTGTGCAAACTGGGTGGATTCCAGACCCAGGCTGAATGACTGGTGCAGTCCTTTCTGCATTTGCAGCTCGACTTCTCCTGCAAGCCACATATTTACACCTGAACTGCAAGCAGAGAGCCCATTTTCCCTGTTCTGGCAGTGACCCTCCCATCAGGCTTGGGAGGAGGCAGTCCTTTTCAAATGAAGAGGGGGCAAGGACTGGACCTGCAGGAGGGAAGGAAAAAAGCTGCAAGTGGGAACCAAATGGCAGAACAAAAGTCAACCTGGCAAGAAAACTGGGGGCCATGACTGGAATTTCAAGTGAGGGAGGGAGACAGGCTGAAATGGATGACTGGGAACCTGAAGGGAGACAGACTGGGACTGGCAGTCAGCCAGGTTGGGGAAAATGGGCAAAGAGGTTGGTGACTGAAGGAGAACAGATGAAGAAGGAATGAAAGTAAGCAGATGAGAAGCTGATGGACCCCACAGTTTGTGGGGCTTTCCAGACATGTCTGGTTCAGGCCATGACTTTTTCCCCCCCCAAGGCCAGGGTTAATGCCGACGGGAGTGCCTTCAGTACTGGTGGAATCAGCTGCCATCTGCTTATCACCATCCTCTACACCAGTGCTTCTCGAAGTGGTGGTCCACGGACCGGTGCCGGTCCGCGAGCCACTGGTTGCTGGTCCGCAGCGAGTTGCCAGGAAAGAAAGAAATATATTTTCAGAAGCATAACACTGATATGTCATAGCGCCACAGTTCGTACGTTCCAACACTCCAGGTGACGTCACGTCGTGCGAGGTGAGGAAAGAGAAAGAAAGAGCTGGTCGCGCATTTGTGTAGCGCTGTTGCACGCAGTTCCTGCCACTGGCTGAACCGGGCACCAGTCCCTGGCTCACTGGAAAAAAAATCGCTGGTCCGCCACATCAGATAGTTTGAGAAGCACTGCTCTGCACCTCTTTGGGCCTTATGGATTTATTCTTAAATGTCTCATGCCTGTTCCAGCGGAAGAACATTCAGCTCCTGCCTCAGTGCTTCACTTTGTTACCCAAGGCATTGGTGCTGGCTTTGGTATCACTGCTGAGTTCAGCTTCAGGCCCCATGTCATGCTAACACTGGTGCATGTGTTGGCAGTAACATGGATTCTTAGAAAGAGAACAAAAAAAATCAAACAAGAGAAGTCAATGCACATAAAGTGCATGTAGAGGTTGACTCAGGTGCCAAGTAGCTTTAAATCCCTTTATCTTAATCCTCCTCAAAAGAGGATTAAGTTTCAGAAACCTAAGGCCATCGTGCCTGAATGGGAGCATCCACACGAAGGTTTAGTAGTGCTTGAGCCTTAGGCTCATTGATTTCATGTTATTGAGAGATCTTAAGACAAGCCCTCAGTGTTTACCTCTAGCAGTCCATGCTAAAGGCAGTCGAAGTATTCCTTTCCTCTTACCAACAGGTTCAATCAATCAACCTGGATCTGCACTCTTTCGCTGCCCAGCACTAAGCAATATTCTCTTGCAGGTTTGTCACTTGATCAAATTTGAATTGAATTTAGGCAGGAGTGCAGCAGCAAGCTGGCCTCAGGCAAAGTTATGTCCCTGGACAGCTGAAGAAAAAACTTAAAAATCATTATGCACAGTACTTTCTCCTTCACTGTGTCTCAGAGACTTAAATTTGCTATTGCTGCATTGGCCAGATTGTTACCTGCGTAAACATGGAATTTGCTTAATATCTAATAATGTCCAGAATCTGTACAGGTCTCACCTTGTGTCAAACGTATAGCCCGCGGGCCAGATCTCAGATCCAACTCACGTACTGCATGCAACGTGTAGGGCCAGTCTGGTGCACGGGCTGGAACCAGCACCATGGGTGCTGCTCAGAGCACAGGTGCTTGGTCCAGATCATGCCAACATGATCAACCCCCTGTACCACATGCAGTGTGCGCAACCAGTCCAGCCACACACTGCATATGCCAGCCCTACTGTAGGGTTTAGCACAGGCTGAACACTGCATGCAGCACCCACCAGCCTGGTGTTGTAGACTGGCTCCAATGGACAAAGATGACTTAAGGCCCCAGTGCAGACCAGCACCGGAGCCAGTGTGCAGGGATGCTCCAACACAAGCACCAGATGCAGCCCATGCCCCAGAGGGTGGCCAGCACATGCTGCAAGTGGCACACAGGACGGGACTAGCTTTACATGCTGCATGTGGCACAGGGTGGGGGGACAGCATGGGGCGTGGCTGCATGTGCCACTGGACCGGCCCTGCATGCTGGCTCCAGTGCGTAGCCTGGATCTGGGCTGCAGACCAGCCCAGCAACCCTTGTCTGGCCTGTGATCCAGTTAAGTTTGACACCCCTGCTGTACTACAAGGCATTATTTCCTGTGGACAAGTAAACCACGAAGATGAGGAACTTTAGCAGTAGCTAGTGATAAACTTAATACTGGTCTCTCTGACATACCTCTGCTTCTCTATCAGTCCTACACAGTAAAACAAAATTAAGATAAATTCAGCACCCTGTTACACCCTATAACTTTATCACTGCAATGGAGATTACTAATTTACAGCCTAACCTTTGTTCCTCCAGAGGCTGCTTTTAAATATATAATTTTTGAACTCAGATGATGCCAAATATTCTCACTAGGAATTTGACCTCTATGAACTGCAAAGTTAAAACTAGTACTTAAAAAAAAAAAAAAAATCTTATATCTTTTAGTTCTGGCTACCTTAGATCCAAAGCATATGAGCTTCAGAACAATGCTAGGTATGATCAGAGTCAGGCTTTTCAATTTAGTGTAGATACACCTTTAGAATTACACACTAGTTGCTTCAAAACAAAGGCAACTTAGATTCATACAATTAAGAATATGCATAAGTTGGTGAGAGATGAATCCCAGTTCCCTTGCTCCTACTCTAGGGAAGACATTATGGTACCAGTGTTGGCCTTCATAAAAGGGGATATAAAACCTAAGCCATGCTATAACCCCCAGACCCGTTTACTACTTTATGAACATGATTACAGTTTCTGTACAGCACCTAAATATGACAATGGGACTCTATAAATGCCGAAGACAGAAGTATAGCTAGAACATCTTATCAAATGTACAGGATACTAACTCAGAAAATACTTATGTATGTGCTCAAATTCTTATCCTTATTTAAAGGGCCATTAACTTCAAGCTAAAAACAACCTGACAGCAGTTTGCAAGAAACAAAGAAAGTACAAACCCTGAACTCCTTTTATTGATGTTGTATTGTTCACAGATGTCTGATGCTAATACTGTGAGTTGAGGTCCAACAATGCTGTCCAGTTTACGGCAAAAGTCCAGTGTTAGTGGATTTGAGGCTATAAACAATTTTAAGAGGGTGAGTTTCTTTTTAACAGCACATCACATACTTGGCAGCTTTGTGGCCAAATTACAGCATGTACTTTTTTGTAGTCAGCTTTAAACATTCATAAGAATTTTGGACTAAATATTGCTGTCAGAGTAATAGGACCTTATCAAAGTGCCTGGAGTTTCTACAGGCTTACCTGGGGCAATACGTAATGCCTTCCATACCACTGAAGCAACACAGTTGAAATAACTGAATTATTAAGAAGCTTATGAAAACATCCACAAGGCATGAGTTAGTATGACAATAATATGAATAAATACTTTGTATAGCAAGATCAGACAGATCTAAGTCTGATGATGTTTGTCAGGGAAATAGTAAACAGTCAAAAAGAAAATACTTTAATTTCTACAGTTCTTAACAAATGATACAAACACATACTTACCATCAATCATAAAGCAAACAGCTGCACTCATGGCCTGAAACAAATCAAAGCAAAACATTTAAAAAGCAACTCAACCAAACCTATAAATGAATTGCTAAATTAGCTTTTACTGTAACTTAATTTTCAAACCTCAGCTAATCTCCCCTCCTAACAGTCTATACAAGACACAGTTTTCTTTGTTAATTCAGGCTATTCAGTCCGCTATTCACAGGGGGTCTAAAGTGTGGCTAGCTATTTTGTAGAACTTAAAAAGCAACCTGGCTAGGGTTTGTCAACACATTTGCTTTTGAAATCTTCATATCTTAAACTGGTTTCAAAACCATTCTGTTAGAGCAAAAACTGTGCACACATCCACTTAAAACCACTTACAAATGGCTAATCTCCATTTAATTTGGGTCAGTGCTAAGACAAAGAGCTTTGAAAAACACTATATGGCTTGCTCTTTTGTCTAGGTTATGTCAGTAAAGCTATATAAAAGTTATGCAGAAACTTTAATCAAGTTTTCAATATCTGAATTATGAAAGCCCTCCTGGTAAACCCTCACAATTTTTTGAGGAAGACTATTAAACTTCCAGAGAGCTCTCTCTCCTGCTGCTCTTATGTCCTGCGATAAGCACCTTTCTACAAAAACACAAAATGTACATAGCAGGGTTTCCCACTTCCTACGTATTCATAATGTGCTGGAAGAAATAGTTTGGTACCTTATAAACTATTAAATGAAGTTCTTCATAAGTGTCATCTGTATTTACAAATATTTTGGGGAACCTGCATTTTGCTTCTGGATCATTCAGATTAAAAGGTCCAGTAAGAAACCTAAAAACCAGAATTAAACAGATCATATGTAATTATTTATATATCTTACCCTTATTTAATACCCCCCCCCCCCCCCACACACACACACACAACTTAAATAAATGCACATATTTGAGGACAATTAGCTTCTACCTACCCAGCCAGTACATATGCAGACCCCACCAGCCTAGCATCCGAATGTGTGCTCTTAAATTATTGCTATAGAGTCCAAATAATTTGTTGCCTATAACTCCTAATTGCTGTGAAGATGATGGTTGGGACATGTATAGCTTCAACAACTAGTTGTGCAAGACTGTTGCAGTGCTCCAGCTGATGGCTGCAGCTCTGAATCCTAAGGCCATCATGCATGATACAACTGCAGTTTTCCAACCGAGTGGAAAAGGGCCACCCTTTGAAGTAAAAGCCACAGATGACTATGCAGCTCATCCTTAACTGGCACCAGGTCGCCAAAGGAAGGAAGTAGTGGAATCAAGTGATCTAGGCTCTACTGTATTTATAAACAGGCCCTCCAAAAACTCTGGAAAATAGTTACATGAAAACAGCCCTAAACAATGGCAGTAAAAGAAAATACCAGCCAAAAGAGCAGGTAACTCAAGAAACCTGTCCAACAGCATCTGAGGGATAGTGCTTTAGATACCTTATCTATCCATTTAACAGGAGAGTAGTGCACTAGGTGCTTCCCAGACTGTGGGAAGCATTTGCCAAAGCTAAACACAAAAAACACACTGAACCAGGCTTTATGATTAAAGCAAGTCAGAGGCCAAGAAGGAACACTCATTCAAAATAAAGCTGGGAGGCAGAGTTGCCTCCTCAGAGTTAATGAATAAACTAGCAAGTCACTACATAGACCATTGTTTTGCTCTTGTATGACAAATCCTATGACACAAGGGAAAAGGAACTGGAACAATACTAAATCATTGCTCTGCAGTGTGTTAACAGCAGCAAGAGGGAGATAAGTATGCAGCAACTATAAAAAAAGTTTCTGCATATCACAGGCCAAAGCCTCCTCCTGGAAAACTCCACTGGAATAGCCTAGGGGTAGGAGTTGGCTCCAAGAATAAATGTCATACTTCTTTCAAAACCAACATCCCATTTTCATTCTGTATGAAAACAGCCTAAACTTCTATTTCTGGAGGAAAATCAAAGAGCATGGCAGAGATTTGCTACCTTCCGTAGTGTTGTAGATTTCCTGGCATTTCTGCACGTATTGGAGAATCTCTTCCTGCCAGCTGAAAAACAAACAGGAAGGTCACAGTTTATTACAAGACACTTATTATTCCCATTACTTGTTGCTTGGAAGTCATAAAAAATGTTCAAACAGTGGGCCATAACTCTCCCACTAGAATTTGCAGTTAATGCAACTAGAAGTGAGGAGAGATAGCATAAAGCCTGGGTATTTTGTTTTCACATTTCTTATTCTGAACACTGAGTTAAAACTTCACTTGGATACATAAATCTCTCTACTCTTACGGCTCCCATTAACAGTGCCTGAGCAATCAAAAGAGTGAATGAATTCATGCTCAAATTGCATGATATCATTTATTCCTGTGACCCAAGGAAGTATCTTCATGGTATCATCGTAACATGGAGATGCAGAGAGATGGAGTTGTTCAGGGTCCCAAAGAGCCTGTGGCAGAGCCAGAAATTAAATCTATATTTCCCAAGTCCTAGACAAGTGTCACAAGCACAAGACCATACTTGCTTCCTCAATCAAATCTAGTTTTGCTGTGTTAGGAGTAGCATAGGCTGTGCAACATTACTTGGATGGCTGAACTGCATTTCATCCAATGGACACTCTACGCTAGTTAGCCACACTGCGGAAGGAACTGACGGGAAATACTCAAGTGACATTAAAACTGTGTTTGTAAAACAGATACAACTCAGTATTCACTGAATGCTTACTTCTGTACTTTTCACTGAGTATTGTAGATAACTTCTCTTTGTTTTGCTGTTTATGGTCAATTCTAATATTTTTAGTATTTACATCGAGTTGACCCACATCTTGTGGTCAGCTACTGTGACCTGCTTCACAGTTTGAACCCTTATATATCTTTATAGCACACAGACTATCTACACATACAGAAATGAAGGAATACTGCTCCTTTTCCACTTGTGAACACCAAGAGTGACATCCAGTGGCCAGTTACATATCTACCGATGTGTCTTTCAGAAGCTCCATCAGGGGGTGCGTTGGATTATCCCAGCCCCTACTTATTATACAGTGTTGCCAGTATCAGTATAACCAGGAGATCTATAACATTTATTTGGCAGGTCACCAAACCAAATAAACCTCCATTTCTGGTCTTTGATAGAAGGACCGCTTGCTCCAGAATGCAACATAACATTATGGTAGCTCACTTGTATAGTCATCATTTGATCTGATTCAGGTCTTAGCATGGGAGTAAGATTCACAACCTTCCAGCCCAGAAGCCAGTGTTACCCACAGCTCTTTACTATGATGCTATGGTAAAGAACATTTGCTCCCCCTCTCATTTCCTGAGAGCTCCAGTCAAGTGAGTTTATTTATATTAGATAAAAGTATAAAAGGCAAATTCCAAGTTATTTAAAAAGTGAGAGTAGACATATCCCTACCTCAGGCTCCATGTGCCTTGGAAAGAGAGATGTCGTAAGATATTTGTACAGAATCCTCATGTCATCTTGTTCTAGTCCACTCCTGGAACAGAAAAAAGTTAACATAGAAACTGTTTTTCCTGCTTTGCTTCTCTGATAGTTTTGAACCACAGCTAGCATCCTTCTAACCACAGCTGAGCAAGGCATGCTGATGTCTTTGGCAGCAACAGAACTGATAACTCACGTGGCAGGTGCCAATGCCAGGCCTGCAGTCATCTGCTCAGGACATAACTGCACACCATATTCCCAATAAGTGGGAACCTACTATTATGCAAAATTAGTTACTGCACAGGGACCAAGAAGGACACCCCCCCCCCAAGAGACTGCCTGAGGAAGAGCAGCACCTGCCATTCAAAGGATTAGCAGTTCACCAAGGTTGGAGGTAGGCTCTGGAGGTTGGGGAAGGCTAGCTAAGACGCTAAGGAGGGACATATGGAGGCTGTGCCATGTGGGTGGGCTGGGGGGAGCCAGGCTTAGGAAAGGTGACCACAGGGGCAGCCATTTAGAAGGCTTGGGAAGGACAGCTGAGGTCATGAGTGGGACTTAAAGGTGTGGAAGACTAGGAAGAAGGTAGATTTTAAGGCCATGCAGCGGAGGCTCCACACAGAGGGGCTGTGCGACCATGAGTAGAGCTTTGAGCCCAGGTAGGGGACAGAGGAGCTACAGATGAAGATGTGGGGGGTAGAGGGAGAGGTCTGAAAGCTGCTCAAGCATAGGGTGCCAGTTGAAGGAGCAGTGGATATTGGGAGCGAGAGGTAAAGGGTGAGAACTGGGGTATGAATTGTTTGAAGGAGATCACTGTACCCCAATGAGCATTGTGTTCAGTTCTTCCAGCCACACTGGGAAAGCACTGACTTGATATCCTTGGATCGAGATGAAAGCCGAGGTAGCCAATGCAAGCCAAGAGGCCTTACCAATGGCACCCCAGGGCCTGCAGGGGGATGCCCCCAAGACAGACGCAAACCTAGAGAATGGGTAGTCATGGCAGCCAGACCCTTTCCTGTGCACAGCAACCACCTTCCCCACCATCCCCCATGCCCAATCCAGCAACCCCACCTACCCTCATCTCACCATTTGATTTCCAATCTTAAAATGATTGTATTTAATCTTATACATTCATGCCGTAATTTAGAGTACATCAAGCATACACCACAGACAAGAATGTGACTTGCACTGGGGGGAGGCAGCAGCAGTCTGGCAGCACTGCATACAAAACAGTCTTGGCTGCACTCCTGCACCACTCTCTTTCCTACAGTTAAATACTAGGGTAGGTTTCTTTTTGATAGAAAGCTCATTTTGTAAAACAGTTATAATATATTCAAATTAACAAGCAAGCACATCATGAGCTAAAAAAACAGTCTTGCCTCAGTTTATTAGCCTCCATTTAATTTCATAAGCAAACTTACATTGAGTATGTACTGGAATCTAGACAAATAAAATGGGAATCTATTTTCTGAGACATGGATTACTTTAAGTATTATTTTGCATGTTATTTCTCATCTAAACATTCTGCAAGTCTCCCCTCACTTCCCAATAGCCTGTGAATATGCAAACCTCACACAGCTGCTCCCCCATTGAAACACGATGCCAAAAGCAGCTGTGCCATGTCAATAAACACCCTAAAAATCACACACAGCTGAAGAGTTATCAGTTTTAAATTACATTAATGCGGCAAGCTCCAGACAGTACTTGGTTTCTGTTAAAAATGCAATCTGTTCATATTTTCTGCAAATGAAGTCAGACTGGATTAAAAGTAGTTCAGACTGCTGCAAAGTACACCTCTCCTTTTCTAAATGCACGGCTTGTAAATTCAAGTACAAATTCATCATTATGCTTTAGGTGTAAAAAGGCACTTTAAAAAAATTGCAAATTGTTACTAGATGGAATAACTACCAAGAATCCGAATGACATAAGGTACAATAAAAATGAGAACAAAATACAGCAATTCTGATAGTATACTATTTAGAACAGGGCTATTCATCCATTTTATGGACCACTTCGGATATATGAAAGTTAAGTTTCAGAGATTCAGTAAGTAACTTAAATCCTACATATTTTTGTTCTCCCTGTTACAAAGAAACCATAAGAAACCTGACAGGGAACTTTGTTTTTTACGACACCCCCCACATTTAGATAAGACCAATTTCTGATTTATAACTCCACTTGAAGTCAGTCAAATTGTACAAAATGAGTCACTTCAGAGTATGACCCTATATTGTTCAACATGTGTACATATGTAAGAACTACGACAATTATGACATTAATATCTCTCCCTGATTATTTGGAAGTGATGTAATTTGGTAACATCTTTCCCTCAACTACAACATGTGCAAGGTTTCCACATTAGCAAACTGTTCAAAGTTTGTCTGAATTGAAGTCAACATCCTCACTGCTCCCTTGAATATCAGAAGTCTACAGAATAGAAATTCTCCAGCATTAAGCACCGTCACCTCCTGTTGATTTTGGGCACTAAAAAGATCAAGGATCAAGCCCCAGATTTAGTGCATGAATACAGAGAGAGAGAGAGAAAGAGAGAGAGAGCAAGGCATTGTTCATATATTCGGCATGAGTGCCAACTGTAAGTCATCATTCAAAAATGCCCCTCTGGAAGATTGCTTGTGCCTTTAAATACTGTACTTAAACAAATCAGTAAAATACTTCAGCTGAATCGCAAATATTTAAAAAAAAAAGTGTGATCTCCAGTTTTCTTACAGCAACAGCTTTGCTTTGTGAGGGATATTTAAAAACCCCTACAAATGTACACTGCGAGGTTCTTGACCGGTAGATTAAATAACTGGCTAAACACCCACATTCGTTAGAACTTTGAGACTTAAGTTCTCTCTGGGGGAAAAAAAGCGCCCACAAAATTGCATTCTGAGCTGCAACTGTGGCAGTGACTTGATAATGTAAATGACATTTCCACTTTGGACAGTGTTTGACAAGAAAAAAAATATTTATATAGTATTTGAGTTCTTGCTCATTTCTATTTTCCAAATCACTGAAAGTAAAAGCTCTCTTCATGCATGACTTTCTCTTCCAATCTCCCCATGCATGTTTCTAGAACAGGAATCATCAAGAAAGAATAGCTGGTTACAGGACCAATCCAAAAAATGCCCTATAACATCCTACAAGAAAGCATGTATTACATATGCACATCTATGTGCATCATAATTAGAAGGAACTTGCCTGCCACAAAAAAAAAAATTAGAATTTTCAGGCATTTCTTACAATCTATAATGCATGCAACTTAGTAGGAAAGAAAACTGCTGACCATCAATCTTTTCACTCATCCCACTAAAAAGTTTTCTTCTTTTCATTTAAGTTTCATTTCTTTCTACCAAATCTAAGCTCTGTGTTTTCCTGCAGTATGAAGAGAATACCTTCTCAGAACTTCAGTCACTATATCAATTAAAAAATAGTTATTAAAACTGTCCCTCCTGTAATCCACAATTGAAGTACCTACCAGATCAGCTGATCATTGTAGAGAAAGGCAGTATATTTGACTATGTCCAGGCTTTCCTCCATCTTATTAATAAATGACTGGATTTTCAAGTAAGTCATTTTATCCAATGGAAAAAAGCTGATCCCACAAAACACATCCAGCAGGTCACAAGACTGTAAATGCAGTGTTTGCAAATACTGAGGAAAGAAACATAAAGGGAAGGAAAAAAAGTTATTTTTTTTCAAGTTTTTTGAATATTTTAAAGCCTCTAAAATTTACGTTCAAAGTTATACCTTAGCCTTGTCAGTAACTGTTTTTGGGTCCTCCTCTTCACTACCTGCTCATGGCTTCATAAGGATTAGGGTGTGGAAGTACTGCACTAAATGTTGGTTTAATAATTTTAAGTAATAATCTAGGCCCTGCTAATTATTTGTCATGATGGCTCATAAAAGAAGGCATGAAGAAAATAGAGCATCCCCAAATCCTCCTGATGATAAATACTATAAATAACTGGAATTATTAGCAAGAGGCTAATTTAAAAAAGACAAAACAAAACACAATACACCTTTCACAATTTCTATAGAAAGTAACTAAGAAAACTGCAATATCTGCGTAGGGTATTTTCAAGATACAAGAGCTTTGGCTGCTGACAAAAGTGGGGAAACCCTGCCGCAAAAACCCAGTGCTTTACTTTCAGCTTGGTGCACTCCTGCAACAAGCACAGTGCAGCGTATGCCCACAGCAGGAGCTGCATCAGCTATTAGGTAAAAACACCAAAGACACCCGCTGAAATGCACAATCTATACAAACGTTGGGCAAACTGTACTGTCACTTCACGTTATTAAAAGGCAAAAAGTGATGAACTTCTACTCCTTTCAGCATAGTATACTCTATTGGCTTTTCCCATAGTGGGGAAAGCCAAACACTGATCTCTGTATATACAAAACAGCACACTTAGAACTGTTATTTATTATACATTCAGTTAAGTTCTTAATATGCAATATAGGGAAGTTGGACTCTATCAGTTATATGCATTCATTCTTCTACAAGTTCATAAAGTTAGCCAACCCAATCTATTAGATGGAAGAGCAGAATGCTTTAAAATTTTTCAAATATCAATGTCTATGTCATATGCAGCTCCAAAGGGAAAGTGAATAAGCATGGAATCAGGTATTTTTTCTTTGCAGGTCTGTCTGTCTGATATTTGTGAGAGAGAGAGATGAGCAAAGAGTATGAAATGCAGGTACTTGTCCCAGCCTTGCAATCATGCAGTTCAGCCCATGCACCAGCACCGAGACCCAATTCATCTACTGTGTCTTGATACAGTTGTAGGGTACCTGGAACAATTTACGTGACTCACATCTATTGTGGCTGAAAAGCTGTGTGTGCTTGCTGCACACCTGAAATTCCCCACTGGAAAGACAAACTCCCTTCATTTTTCTTTCCACCTAAACCTTTTGAGGTTTTCTTTACAATCTTCTGTGCATTACGGTTGTAAAGTCAAAAGTCAATTCTTTACCATGCTCTTTTTTGTCCAGCTATAGCCTAAACTAGATGTACAGAGGAATACAGCAGCAAAACAGGAATAGTCCTATAGACTACATTTTTCCTTTTAGGAAAATCCCAAAGGCCCTGAAACCCTAATATGCTTTCAGCTGCAACATCTTGTACTGCATGAACTTGAGATCGTTCTGAGTCTCCTGTTTCTTGCTACAGAAGTAACTTATTTACTAGAGCTATTTCTATAATTCTGGAAGAATTCTGGAAAAGCACTATGCTGATGGAACTTCTACTCTTTCTTTCTAGCTGTAGGTTAATTGTTTTACTTAATCATGCAGAAATGATGGCTTATTCAAGATTAGACATGAATTGTTTTGCTTCTGTAAGCAACCAATTCACCTTTGAAAATTTCTATTATTCATATTTTTTTAAAACAAAATAAATTGTAAAGATGTGTCCGGAGAATGGCAGTACAAAGACAGCACTGAACTAGAGCAGCCAGTGATATATACCCAGCTGCATTACCAGCAAGCCACAGACCTATGCCACAGTACTAAGTAAATGAATCTGATGACGATTGTTTCTGTGATAAGTTATGACCGAACCCATTTAAGAATGTTTACACTATTTTATTCATTTGTTCTATTTTATTAATTAAGTTATATATTTTATTTATTTGTGATAAAATATCAGTTGTGTAGTTAGTTCATATTTATAGCATCTGGGGCACAGCAAACCATGTTAAATATCGGAGGAAGAAATTGAGGTCATTTTTTAAATCAAGAGATTTACCAATAAGAAATAAGATTCTATAGTATTTTGGAAACTATTTTACTGCCCTTTTCTTACTGAAGAAGCTATTCAGAAATAAACCCAGCAACTTATACATGGTCTATATCACATCTATTGTACTATTCAGAAGAATTACTTTAAAAGAATATTTGACTTGTGGAGTTAAGCACATCCAGTCAAGCAACAGGCAATACTAGAATCAAAATTGTACATAGTCCTGTCTTCTATCCATGCATAATCATAGCCCTGCCCAGCATCACATAAGTACTCTGGGGCAGGGGCCAACTGAATCTTGTTTGGTCCTGGTCTGAGCTCTTAATACACTAGAGAACTACTCCACCTCTATTTTTTTTAAAGGAACCTGAACAGTATAACTCAGCCACTGGAATCACTGTCCACCCTGCCTCAGGCAGCAAGGTGCGTATATTCCTCTACCGCTAAAATTGAAGAACTACCTGGTAACAGCAGATTCTCTCTCTCTACTAAGGATAGTACACATAATTTGCATCACTGGAAAAAGCTAAATTGATGAGATTGCCCATATTACAGATCTGAACTTTATTCCCAACTCTGCAAGATGTAGCCTCTTAGCAACCTTATTGGAAAAAAACACCTTATTGTCTTGTCTAAAGCAGCTAAAATGATGATGTAGAAACCTCATAAAATTTCAGTCTAAGTTAAAAAGCAAGTAGAGAAAATTCCAGCCTGAAGATTAAATTTTGGAAGTTACCGGCAATTGGATAGCAAAGTGTCAGGAACCTCTCTCTAGGGTATCAAATTCCAACACTACCTATAATGTGAATACCAACTTTTTGTAGCTAAGTCATTTATATAACCCAGATTTAAAATCACAAGAATTATCTATCATTTTTACACTTCTATGGGACTTTTTCTGCGTCTATACATGCACAGAGATTGCAACACAAGGTAATCAATTCAGAAAGTTTCCTGCTGATTTTGAGTGTACTAGCACAGCTGCGTAATTATGTGTAATAGCATATAGTTATGCAAATTACCTTGTACTGACTATTGGGGAAATATTAGCAAGTATGATTTAGCCTTTTAAGAACAACTGTCAGGTTTTAAGTTTTAATGTAGATATTAGGATTAATCCACCTTTAAAAGATAACCATCTTTAACCAACTCAATGCAGCCTACCAAGCCGCCATACACTATTTATTCAAAATTCTTCCAAAGAGACTCTTCTCCACAACACACGCATTGTGACAATAACGTGTAAAAAATCTCTCTCTACATCTATAGGTATCTAGCTGTCCAGCTAGCGCTTCACTCCTTTGGTTTTCCCATCGCATTCCATGTGCTGTGCATTGCATTTAACTCCAAGAAGGATAAAGACTGGACTTGTGCATTTTATTTCCTGTTCAGTATCACACTGTGCTTGTATAACAACAGTAGAACTTACCCGGTGAAAGAATTTCTCTAGTCTCTCTTTTAGAACTTTTATACCTCCATCTTCCATGGCTTTGTGGAATGTGCCATTAAAAAGCTAATGGTTCAAAAAAAGATGCATTAGGGAGGTAACTTGTAATTATAATACAATTATTTCTCATAAATTAATACACTTGTAATTGAATTTCTGCACACAACTCCAATTTCCCAATTCCATACTTCCAAACTGTCCTTCTCCCTTAAGAATCTCTTCTTTAGATCCAAGTTTACCCTTTCCACTTTTAAACTCTTTTAATTTACATAATTTGTAGAAATCAAAAACTGAGTATTATAAAAAGGCCATGTGTCGTTGAAGAAACAAAGACCTTTTTTATTTACTGTATCCTGTGCCCTGACCTTGTGACAAGCAGATTATGGGTCCTTACCCAACAGAGCCTAAGCAGATTTTGTGGAACTATGAAGGAATAGTTTTAGTATCAGTGTTCAGTTCACTGCAAAGATGAGAATAAAAGGCATCATTTTTTGCCTACTCATCACCACTACCACTGTTTCAGAGGAAAAAAAAGTAGACTGTATGGATAAGTCAGGCCTCTAAAGGTAAGTTACTTGCTTATGTTCAGATGGCAGAGGACAAAAGGTTTTCTATTTCTATCCCTGAAGAGATAATCTTAGTATAACAAGATATTACCCTTACCTTGAACATGCTGTAGCACTGCTGTAGGACTGAACTATAAACCTTGTCCTGCAAGATGGACAATAAAGCATTAAATACAAAAAAGGCACTGTTCTAAAAATTTTGTCTAGCCTACATGGCTGAGCATATAAACCAAGATTTAGTAATATACCATCTTTTATATCTAAAAAGTACGTTTTATAACACCTTAATTTCTAGCTGTTAATGGCTACAGATGAAAAAGCATTTACAGTGCACCTGTAAGGTATTTTCTCAGTTCATAAGTGATTTTTACTCCTCTTTTGTGCTGCACGTAAAGCAGATGGCATTAATTTATGCGTGCATTTAATATACTGGAGGAACAATGAGATAAAAATAACTGTCTGCTTATCAATAAAAGTAGTTAATTCCAAATCAACTTCCCCTGACCCTTATGCAGAGGTAGCAGGAAGATAAGGACTTAGGGCAGTGGAAAACTCAACCTCCAATTATCACTGGAATAATGTTAGGGGTTTTTATTTTCTGGCAATAAGAAAAAGATAGGTTTGTTTTGTAGGAACAATTTCTCTATGAATATAAAACAATCTCACATGTAGACACTGAAAAGTGCAAGCAGGCTAAGCGGTGGTTTAACACTGCTCCATCTGCATAATTACTTTGCCTGCTTACAGTTAAAATTAGTTGATGATGCAACGCTCAAATGAAATGACCTGGTAATTAACTGTTTGATTTTTCTATCAATTCATTCTTGAGGTTTCTATTCTTTTAGTGTAGTTTTAAAGTCCTCTTTGGATATTCTCTCCTAAAGCTTTGTCTAGCATACCTTTAAAAGTCTGCTACAAAAATGTCTGTCCTACACGCTCAATTTTCAGTGGGCAGCTATATTCTTCTAATCAATTCCAAAGCAGCTCAGGAAGTAAAAATACTATCCACATAAAAGATACTCTTCTATTCTTAGAAAAAAGAAGTTACAAATAAAATTTAACCTGAAAACTAAAGACAAATTAGAATAGTTGACTGTTACCAGTAGCTCCTCTTCCTGATACTCAATGACTGGTTTTCCATCTTTGTGGTGTCTCTCTATAATGGGATTCCTTACAACCTAGGAAGTGGAACAAACTGGTCTTAGACAATGCAGAACATATTTAGTGCATTTTAACTTCCTATTTTAGGAAGGCATAGATCGTGTATACAAATACCATGACCATCCAGAAATTTTCTTCCGGTTCATTGAAAAATTGTCTATTCTTCTGAGTATGCAGGGATTTTGCAGGTTTGGATGGACTAAAGGTCCTAGGAAAAATGATATGGATACATTTAGGACAATTTCTAAAAAGCACACAATTTGTGTAATTTTTGTAATCAGCCATGCAAACATGACTGCTTAGTACCTTGTGAACTGTACTATGGCTTCGCATAACCCCACATTTCTAATTTTTTCATTCTTTTCTACTTCGTTTGGGTGATAAAATAGAATCTTCTTTTCTTCCTAAAATTTGAAATAAGAATAAAGATAACTAAATTTTAAATAGCAGTACTAAAACAGGAAAAAATAATTTTTAAATAAACAAATTCCTTAGTTTTCTGAAGAGTGTTTTAAAATCATTTTGTAAAAACAGGCTTATGTACTAATAAAAAAATCCTACATTGCACATTGATATGGCCTGTCATCCAAAAGTTGGAACATATAAGAATCACTATATCAGCTGCATAACAGCTCATCTGAACATCACACTCTTAAGGCAGGATAGGAAACCAGTTTACCTCTCTCTGCATACAACTTCCGTGCAAGATATTTATCCTACACACTCATGCAAACATTAGTCTGTACTTTAAAAAAAAAACTTATTTTCTTGAACACCCAGCAAACAGGTTAGGTGTACAACATTATAGACAGGTTAAGTACACTTTATGATGTTAGTCATGCATTTTGTTGTTAAAAAAAATTAAAGTCTTTAAAGCAAATTCGAGAAGCATTTCTGTAGAGATGGACATTTAAAGCTAAAACGTTTTACCAAGTTAAACACTTCATTTCCTTTCATATAGTATAGGCAAGTCACTGCTTTGACAAAAAAAATAAATAATTATTAACAATATTAGTTGCCTTCTCCTATAGCACTTGACAAACCTCTGCACAAAGTACACGAGAGTATTACTTCATTTGTCACTGAAATAGATGCAAATCAGGAGGTTTGCAGCACCAGTTTAACAGCCTACTGTAATGCCATCAGATACTCTAGTCAACAGAAGCCATAAGTACCTACACACAGTAAATTAGTATCTTAAATCAGACAGCTGGAACTGTAGGAAGAGAGGTAGGCAGAATGTAATGCATCAGTTGGCTATTTTCAAACTAGTATGTCATCTATAACCATCTCAGATAGCTTGACAGATCAGGCCAGCATCATTGCTGCCACTAACTTACTAGTTTAATCTACTTCAGTGGTTCTCAACCTTTTTTGAGTCAGGGCACCCCACTCCACAACTTCTCTAAATGTGGCAGCACCCCCACTTGAGAACCGCTGTCGTGCTCAACTTATCTCAGTGCTTCTCCATGAGACGCTGGTGCCTCCAAGAAAAACTGCCCCATGTGTCTGGTGTACAACCAGACCAGGAAGGGCTGTGGCATGTGCATACGTTCTTCCTGCATTAGGGTCCTCCAATAACCCTAAAACAGACAAGAGAGCAAGCTCATGCTGCAGCTCATCACACTGCAATCCTATATGGTATCTCCTGGAAACAGAGATGTCATGGCAGATGTAACTGTCCCATGTGCCTCTGTTTCCAGGGGGAGCATGGCAGGGAGAAGGGGAAGGCAAATCAGGAAGGGCTACAGCACGAACCAGCTGTCCTGCCTGCTTTAGGGTCATCAGACAACCCTAATGTGGGAGGAGTGCGTGGGGCAATTCTACATGGCACTGCAACACCCTTGAGAGGATCTTACAGCACCCAGTTGAGAACCACTGATCTACTTACTCACAACCAAGACCAAATAAAAGCATCTTTATGTCAACTTGATTCATTCAGAAGTGCATTAAACCCTGCAACAAACAGACACCTTTCTTACAGAAAGAGAGAAAGGACTTATCCTGTGCATACCTAGCTCTCAGGGACACTGGGTAATGACCAGGGATCCTGGCTTTCTCTGATTTTAAGAAATCCCCAATTTTCGGTTAAAAAAAGTAACCCCAAATCCACATTTTTCCACGATTAAAATGAAACACCACTATACACAGATCTATATATTAGTGGCATTTCATTTAAATCACAGAAAAATGAGGATTTGGGGTGACTTTTTTTTTTTTTAACCGAAAATTGGGGATTTTTTTTTAAATCAGAGAAAACCAGGATCCCTGGTAATGACTTAATGCTCACAAGGTACTCTGGATGTGAAAAGTGCTAAGCGCTGCATGGTATTATCACACACTGGAAATAACGGAGCAGTTAAAGACTACTGAAGGAAGATAAAAAGCCTCTTTTAAAAACACCGATCCTTCAGCCCAATTGACTACGCATGAAGGTGCGACTCGGGGGCCTATTTTCTGCGGGCTGTCAGAGCGGCTCCTGATGCTTTCCCCCCGTCACAGCTGTTAGACCCAAGAGCAGGGACCCCCCATGGCAGCGCTCGCTCCTTCCTCGGGCTCCCTCCGCCGCCGCCCCTCACCGCTCAGGTCCCTTGGAGGCCTGCCTGGGGCTGGCAGGAGGTTTTCTGACCAGGAAAGGAAAGCAAAATCATGCTCCCAGGCAGAACCAGGTCCGGGCAAAACCAAAAACAAAAAAAGGGAAAGAAAAGAACAAAAGAAAGAAGGGGCGAGGGGGGGCACACGAGGCCAGGGAGGCTGACGGCTCCCACCTACGGTCCCATGGACGGGACCTCGCAGCTCTAGTGCAGCCCGCCCGCCCCGTCCTCGCAGCTTCACGGGCAGCCGCCCCCCGGGCCCACGCCACGCTCCCCCCCGGCG